AAAATAAAATAAAATAAAATAAGTATGCTGAGTGCCCTATATGGCAACTGTGCCCTCCCCACCTGCCACACCTTGAGCTCACTGTCTCATACAGTGAGCACACACTTTCCTCTGTATCTTACTCAATTCTTAACCAAATTTCTTCATTATTCCTTTAAAATTAATGTAAATTTAGTTGGAACTCATTCATAACACAAATACAATGTTAAATGTATCAATTACTTGTGTATTTGTGTACTATTTGATAATAAAAAATACAACAGTTTCCTCTGACTAAGATTTATGATACTGTTAACATTTATTTCAGATAAATGCATCATATGTCTCAAATCACACAAACGTCTTGCAAATATACACTATTGCTGAGACATGTCTTCTGAGACATACATCCAAGACATATGATATTAGATAGCATATATATTACTTTAATCTAAGGACAATGAAGCTCATTAAGAACTTACATACAGTCGACTCGTATTGACACCTACACACTATGAGCAGAGTCCACTGAACCCCTACTAGTGTGACTTACTCTTAGTATCCTTGTGAGTGGCATGCAAACCTACAGAAGAATATTTCCTATTGATTAGGAAACATTGCAACCTCAAAACACTAACAGGTTATGAGCCTTGTGCTCCCTGCTCATATCTACATTGTTACTATGCTTTTATCTTACCCTCTACGAATGCAACACTTCAAAATCATCATCTTTGCAATTATGATTTCCCCCTCAGTGGTTATATGCATGACTATATGCACCATGATTGTCATCTCAAACGCTTTGGTGTACTATACACTATAGTACAAATGATTTGATACACTCAATCATATTATACTCGATAAGTATTATCAAACTACTCCATTTAATGCTGAATCCACTTGATTCTACACGTACAATCTATTCTACTTGTCTACTAACCTTTGGCACTCTCATCTGAGCATACCAAATGTGAATCGTCTTGTCTGGAAGACTACAATTGCTTTATACAACAAGATATGGTTGATACTTGTAACTGGAACATATTATCTACATGGACCTAGACACACCTGTCTGAGCATCCCAAACGTGCATCGATTTATTAAACTAACAAGACATGTATTGGATACATGATACAAGACATATATTAGATACAGACAATGTATCAGATGTCTAAGACATACAGATGGATGAACTAGTTGCTTTAAATGCAATGAGTACTCAATAATACTATATCCAAACACTGAATTACTTCATCTTACACCACAGAGACACATTATATTAATAATGTCTCACATAACAAACAAACATTTGATAGTATATCAATAATATAAATGATTAATACAATAAATGAAAGAACAATGCTAGCAAAGCATAATAACAATATAAAGAAATATATTGCAAACGTATAATCAATCTAATAATGATTAGGCAAACGAATAAAACGAAAACAAGAGTATAAATGCTACTAAAGCATAATAACTCAAATATAAAAACGATTTATACTATCACAAATGAACAATCATGATAAATAACATATATTTACAAAATACAAACATATCACATAGATAAACAAATATACAAACGTACAAAGTAATAATAATGCATTCAAACACATAAAACTATTAATTGTTGAATAACACAATGTTGTATGCAAAATACAATTGAACAAACACATAATAACACATAAAACAAGTAATAAAACATACGAAACAATGTTGCAAACAGTCTAAACATATAATAACAAACATATATACTTATACAAAGTATTACATTAAATTAAAACATAATGCTACAAACAATGAAACAATATAATGATGCATATATGCATAATATTGACACAATATTGATACTATACAGGCAAATACATATCTTATACCTCACACAATTACTATTACAATGCAAAATCAAACAAACAATAGTTACAAATACATTGTAACAATATAATATATCAATAAGATATACATGATAACAAAGTATTAAGTCAATACAATTAATACAATCAGTATAAACAATATAAACAATTAAATATCACTTAAAAATGTGACAAAATACAATAATACAGATGCAAAACAAAACAACTAATGCTACAAAACATCAGAGCCTAATATCAGATAGTCTGAAGGGCCATACAACAGAACGAACACTGCTGCCAAGTACACAAAAGACAAATGAACGTTGGAACAAAATCCAAAGAAACAAACATAAGTTCAGAACTCAATTGAACACTTTACAAATGATTAAACACAATGTGTGACGGATTTAATAGATCACTGCAAACGGCAGAAAGATAGAATTTGTAAAGAATAAATCTATGATCAATACTTAAAGCATATCATTAGCTATTTGAAGTTCAAACAATATCATAACAGTGTATTCTTCATTAACAGCCTTGCTTGAGCTTGCACCTATCACAAAAGAATAAAATACATAAACAGAACAGAAACAAAACACTATAGCTCAAATACTTTTGTCATCAAACAGAAGACAAACAATACTGAGCAAATCTAAACAATGCATCATAATGTATACAAATAAAACGAACGAAATCACAAACTTATGCTTGCTAAAACAACACTATACCAAATGATTAACAAACTATTTGGACGTATGCATAATAATTAAACGAAATACACAAGCATACACACAATCTATTTGAGTATAAACTCAAATAACAAAGAGTACAAATGCTATAAAGAATTAATAACAAAATCAGACAAAAATAACAAATAACATTGAAGTTATTGAACAAAACACATTCATGCATTAATACACAATGCTTAAACAAATGATTAAATGATGAAAACACACAAATGAATTAATTACACACACATGAAAGCCAATTGCTCAAAGTGAACCTTCTTGAATTGAAGGGGAGTAATAGCATATATTCACAAACATAAAATTCACAAAACATAAAACATAACAAATAATAGAAACATAGCAAACGATTAAATGATGCAGAAATATTGACTACATCACTATTTAACCTTGCACATCCTACAAAACATAATTACAAAGTTATTACAACAAATAAGAAGCAAATCTGTTGAATTCAACAATGAAATACCTATACAAGAGACATTTTCTCTAAAATCTTTAATGGTCACACCATACATAGCACCAATTGAACGTATTACAAACAAATATATTATGGAGCATATACCTAAACACAAAGAAGTACACTACATACAATAATGTTGAGCAGAAAAGCATCTCTGGTACATAATGAACTATACAGAAATATCAAACACAACTATGCTTTCC